TGCTGAACTTCTACTAATATTTACCTACCAAAGAACTGAATTTCCTTTAAAAATGAGGGTAAAACTGCCTAGTAGCACTCGGAATTAGAGTATGAAAATACTACATATTACATCAATATCTGAAAGATGCAATAAAATAGTCCCATGAAAAATCATAGCTTAAAATGTCAATTTAAGCTTAGAATAGAAATGCTGATTAATTTACAAGGGAACAGAAAGAATGAAAGAAAAGAACAAAAATTTAATAGCATAAGCAAAATAGATTCAAAGATAAAAGTGGGTTTTTTGAAAAAGACTAATAGAAGCAATAAATTCCGATAAGATTAATTAAGCAAAAATTATAAATAATCAATAATTAAAATAAAAATAATAAGAGAAAAATAAAGAAAAACACAATCACAGTAGAAGTTGCCAGATAAATAAATTAATTACTATTTTCAATCTGCGATGAAATATTTAGAGAAATTTTAACTTTCCATAAGTAAATGTCCCTCACTTTAATGAAAACGCTTAATATATAGATTTGACTTTATCTACAACTGAGAAATAAAAACTAGCTCTAAAGAAAAAGAAATTATTAGTAATGAAAGAGATGGACTTATGTCAAAGTTTTCTGATATCCAATCCCTGTCTTAAAAATAAATTGGCAAACTACAAATAATTTCGTATATTTTTATTACTGAGTCTGAATTAATCCTGTCTTATACTGTTTCTTGATTAGACCACGTTGTATTTTCTAAGGTCCTAATTTGCAATATTTTGCACACTTATGTCCCTAAAACTCCTTTATAAAAGGTGAGACTTGTAAACCTATAAATTTTAATTAATACATTTTATAAATCTTGGTATTAGTACAAAACTGAGTTTGGAGGAGTTATGAGAAAAAGGTCAGCATCAGAATTTCTTAGTACAAGACGAAGTTTAGATGGCGAGTGCAGGAACTCTTAGCTTCAAAACTCTCACCACTTGGGTTGATACAAGCCCTCCCAGGAAGGAGATTCGAGTCTGTTCAGCTCACTATGTTATTCATTGCATGCGACCAAAAAATGATCTTTTGAACTCATTGGAACTCTTATTTTTTAATAATGAAGATAAAACTATTTCCTGATGTTTACTATTTGTTAACCTTGTTTTAAGTTTATTTTTACCTATTTTTTTTCTTTTTTTGGAGAGGTTTTTGCTATAGGGCACATGTGTTCACCAGAAAGAGAGAGACAGAGAGACAGAAAGCGAGAAATCACCCCCCAGGGGGGATGGCCACGCCACAATCCCTTCTCCTCCATTCCCCTCTTGGGATCTTGGACACGGATGAACATGTGCCTGGCGTGAGTTTAAGCCACCGGGTCTGGGACTCGAACCGTTGTCGACTACATGGGAGTTCAGCAACATAGCCATTACACTTATTGCTGGTCCCCCTATTTTTTTTCTGAGAGAGAGGGAGACAGAGACAGAGACACAGAGAGAGGTTCTTAGGGCACAATCCACTCCCAGCCTCAGCCAATTTGGATCATAGGCATGTACACATATGCCAGTGTGCAGGAGAGACCTCAGAACCTGAACCCAGGACCTTCTCCTGTGGCCTCAGCAACACAGAGCACTGCGCTACCACTGGGCCGGTACTGCTAGGCTGCCTGCTGACCTTCTACTAATATTTACCTACCAAAGAACTGAATTTCCTTTAAAAATGAGGGTAAAACTGCCTAGTAGCACTCGGAATTAGAGTATGAAAATACTACATATTACATCAATATCTGAAAGATGCAATAAAATAGTCCCATGAAAAATCATAGCTTAAAATGTCAATTTAAGCTTAGAATAGAAATGCTGATTAATTTACAAGGGAACAGAAAGAATGAAAGAAAAGAACAAAAATTTAATAGCATAAGCAAAATAGATTCAAAGATAAAAGTGGGTTTTTTGAAAAAGACTAATAGAAGCAATAAATTCCGATAAGATTAATTAAGCAAAAATTATAAATAATCAATAATTAAAATAAAAATAATAAGAGAAAAATAAAGAAAAACACAATCACAGTAGAAGTTGCCAGATAAATAAATTAATTACTATTTTCAATCTGCGATGAAATATTTAGAGAAATTTTAACTTTCCATAAGTAAATGTCCCTCACTTTAATGAAAACGCTTAATATATAGATTTGACTTTATCTACAACTGAGAAATAAAAACTAGCTCTAAAGAAAAAGAAATTATTAGTAATGAAAGAGATGGACTTATGTCAAAGTTTTCTGATATCCAATCCCTGTCTTAAAAATAAATTGGCAAACTACAAATAATTTCGTATATTTTTATTACTGAGTCTGAATTAATCCTGTCTTATACTGTTTCTTGATTAGACCACGTTGTATTTTCTAAGGTCCTAATTTGCAATATTTTGCACACTTATGTCCCTAAAACTCCTTTATAAAAGGTGAGACTTGTAAACCTATAAATTTTAATTAATACATTTTATAAATCTTGGTATTAGTACAAAACTGAGTTTGGAGGAGTTATGAGAAAAAGGTCAGCATCAGAATTTCTTAGTACAAGACGAAGTTTAGATGGCGAGTGCAGGAACTCTTAGCTTCAAAACTCTCACCACTTGGGTTGATACAAGCCCTCCCAGGAAGGAGATTCGAGTCTGTTCAGCTCACTATGTTATTCATTGCATGCGACCAAAAAATGATCTTTTGAACTCATTGGATTATGCCAATATAATACATCAATTCCATGTATATCATCACACCATTTACTTGGATACACTGGACAAGCATTCTTAACAAAAGAGCAGAACATGACCAAGGAGAAGCCTAGATTATCATTTAATAGCAGAAGATTTACTTATGAAAAACTGAACTGACCTATTACATCAAAATAGATACTGTGTTAGATGATAAGCACAATTTCTACTGAGTAGTCACTAAATATTAAGCCCTGGATATATTAAGTTAAACAAATTAGACTAAAACACATTTAATTCATGTACTGAATAGGAATCTCAGAATCCAGGTACAAATTGGATACTCAAGATATGTTTTTTTGTTTGTTTGTTTTTAATGGCAAGTAGGTCTGCCAGCTTCCACTTTAGGGTGCTTTCTCTCAAGTGGTAATAGTAAACTTTCATACCACCTTATATAGTAATGTAGGTGGATTCTGGAAAGTAGAAATCTCAGGTAACAGAAATTCACTTACCTTGCTTTTTTTCACAGTTGACTGCACAGCCTAAAATAAGCTGAAGTAACCTCCCAAGCTCCACAGAATCTGAACATTCAGTTATTTGGTTTAAATCAGGGATAAGTTCTTCAGGTATCTGCTGCCCCAAAAACTGCAGTGTCAAAATAACAAATTAGATCACACATTTACATGGGCTACACATATTTACTAAATGCAGTTACTAAGAGGAGAGTAAAGTATGAATAAGTTCATGAAATGACTCAGATAACAAACGGCAAAACAATAAATACTGATTAAAGCTAGTTAGCGATGTTCTGGCAACCTCTCAAAATTTTAAGTAATCAACAAAAACAACTGTGTTTGTTTTGGTATAAAACCAAAACATACTGTTAGAGAGAAGGATTTGTTTAATTTAGGAAGCACCTGGCCTAGTCTATTATGATAAACCTTACACTTTAACATATTGAATGTTCTAAATATGAAAATAGATAAAATATACCCCTAATATGAATTTCATTCCAGTAAAATGTTATGAACAAAGGCCAAATCATTTATCTGTGTTAATGTAATTGTTGTATAGAATTTTACATTTTAAACAACACCAGATAGTTTTCATACCTCATGGTAATAACTCATAATTCCTTGAAGAACCTTCTTTAAGTTACTAGCCTAGTATGAGAAAGAGAGTACGAATTAAATTCTTATTTTACATTAATAATGAAAGAAAATTTGTGCCAAGATGAAAGACAATAAAAATTTCTTTGGATTAAAAAAAATGACAAACAAAAACACTGCAGTAGAGTTCTATAAATACAAGGATGTAACATGTTTTAAATATTAAGAGATTTAGTGAGTGTTTGGTTAACTGCAATGATTCTACATAGAGTGAGTCACAATGATTTCGAGTGCCCACTTTAGTTATGTAGCTCTGAACATGTCTACTTCAGCCATAACAAGTTAACAGGGTTTAGACTTACTCTCTTGCCACATACAACTAGAAAACAGGACAAACTACATGAAACAATTGTTAGAAGTTTTAGACAATAGGAACGATAGGACTTTCCTTTCTGAAAAAAAGGAAAATGAAGCAAGATGAGCCCTACACCAGTCCAAGATTTCTTTCTTCAGGAAATTTTCAGACCATGGCACAGGGAAGTGAAAAATAAACAAAGTCAGATGTTCTCAGTGAGCTGAGAATTCAGGCATCAGGTGTTTAGAAAAGATGAGGCTCTGAGAATTCACAGGGCAGAGGAAGAGATGGGAGCTATGGAGAAAAAGAGCTCCTGAAATATAGAATGGTTCCTTTGACTTTTCAGCTAAATACTGATTTAAATGTGCATGGGTGAAACTCATTGTCGTCTCTGAGGAGAGAATAATCCCAGGAACTATCAGCTAAACAATTCCCCAAAGACTCTACAGGACCCAGGATTTCTGAAGAGACTATGTTGTATGCACAAAGCATTCACTAAAGACCCTTGAAAGGTCACAATTCAGGAGTGGATCTAATCCATCTCAGGGGAAAGAATAAGTTTAGATCTGTTCTCCCTACAGCCTAAAGTCTTGAAAGGATCAAACTGATCTACAAGTTATCTTTACTACCTGCAAAAAACAAAGTCCAATATTCTTTAAATAAAAAAGTCTAATATTCAGTAATAATTAATTCCTAATGATGAGCATCAAAAAAAAAAAAATCACGACATGTAGGAAGAAGAAAATGAAGACCAAAATGAGAAGAAAACTCTTCAATCAACAGAAATGGGGCTCAAAAATTAAAGAATTGGAAATCAATGATAAAACTGCTAGCTTAAAATGTTAATATTTAAATGGGAAAAGGGACTGAAAATTATTTAGGCTCCCATTTTCTTTTTCTTTTTTTTTTTTTTTTAGAGATATAGGGCATGTGCACTCGCCAGAGAGACAGAGACAGATAGAAAGCGAAAAATCACTCTCCAGGGGGAATGGCCACACCACAACCCCTTTTCCTTCATTCTCCTCTTTGGATCTTGGGCAGACACACACACATGCCCAGCCTGAGTTTTAAGCCACCTAGCCCAGGCCTCAAACCATAGTCAACTACATGACAGTCCAGCAACGTAAGCATTATGCCTTCCGCTGGTCCCTTAGCTTCCTTTTTAAGTGGTTAAAAAGAAAAAAAAAAGACACCAGTAAATATTAGAAAGAAAATAATAAAGATTAGAGAGGAAATCAATGAAGTAAAAAACAAACGTTAGTTCATAGGGGGAAAAATAGATGGACTTGAAATACATCTACCCAGCATATCAAAGAAAACACAAAAACTTAAAAGGCAAATTTCTAATATCACAAAAGAAAGAGGAAACACTGCTAAAAAGCATACAACCACTAGCATAGTAATACAGTTGAGAACAAATTAGATAATTATATTAAACAAACAAACATCATACAAAACACATTAGAAGTTGACTTAGAAGTAGACAATTAGCTCAGCACTTTCTTACAAGGTTAAACTTCACTCAACTCAGCAATTCCATTCAGTAATTTACTCCAGAGAAATTTAAAATGTGACTAGGTGAAGACTAACACATGAGTATTCATTGCTGCTGTATTCATAAGAGTCCAAACCAGAGACAATAATAAACATCCATCAACAGACGAAGAGTTAAACTGTGGTACATCAATATAATGAAATTCTACTCAGCAAAAAAAAAAAAAAAAAAAAGAACTAATACGAGCAACATGAATTAGCCTCAAAAATGTTACACCAAATGAAAGAAATTAGGTACAAAAGGGTGCATATTGTATGGTTCCATTTATATGAAATTCTAGAAATGAAACCTATGGGGACACAGCAGACCCTGGCCTTGCAGGGCCACAATGGGAGAGGGATTAACTGAGATGAGACCTGAGCGCATGTTATCATTTTCAGTTAATGGAAATGTTTTATATTTATGATGGTATTTATAAGAAGGCACGTGCTGTGTCAAAACTCAAACTGTGCACCATAAAATGCACCCAAAAGTCAATTAAAAAAAAAAAAAGACTTTGCAAGGTAACAATTTTAGGACCACATTCTTCCCCACATTCTGCATACCTTTATTCTCCAGTTGTCTCCAACATCCTCTTTAATTCGGCTTAACCAAGATTCATTGAACCAAGCTACATCACTAAAACAAAACAAAAATGTCAAACACTAAAACCTTTCATTACATGAAAAATACCCAATTGAATCAACACAGAGTTACTTTATATCTTAAAGCCTATCCTTAATAAAATAGTAAGTATCATTTAAATGAACTTACTAAATTGTCTGTGATTCCTAGAGAGTTCATATAGAATTCCTCATATTAAATTATTTAAGTCATTAACCCCTTCAAATGAACATTTACTGACGACTATTTAATACTAGGTACCCTGCTGGAAATTGGACAAAATGTGAAAGCTCCAACACTGAAGGAGATGGAAAAAAAAAAAAGAAACAGAACATTGTAATGAGTTTCTATAACATATCAAGCTAATGTTTTATCATGTTATTTCATTTAAATATCAAAGTAACTTTGCAAAGGATCTATTGCTATTACCTTACTGTTGAAGGAACTGAGAATCAGAGAACCCTAAGTAATTTGCCCTGAGTGACACTAGAACAAGGCAAAGTCAAAAATAATTTACTCGACTGAGTATAATTTAGTAAATTACGTTTAATTCTGTAATCTACAAAGATGAGTTTCATTTTAATTAGAAGGAAAACATCATATATATAAGGCCAAACCAGAGAATTATTGTACTAGGTTTTTGTTTATTTGGTAAGTTTTCAAAAGACAATCTTAGACTATATATGTTGATCTACATGTGTAGGTTATATTTTCAAGAAATACTTGGAAGCTTATTGTGAGAAGGGAATTGAGCAAGATTAATATGAAAATAAGTAACTTACTATAGTATTTCAACTCCTACAGAAACAGCTAGTAAAGGAGGAAAAAGGAGGACAGTAAAGAATACAACCAACTATACCCAAAGGAAAACGTGATAAATCCTTGTAAGGGTTAAGCAACTACAGAAATCACTGTTATTCCTGAAATCACTGTTTCAGATGTTCTAGTTCAGAAAAAAATCCAAAAACAGCTTCACCATTTTCAATTACTTTATTTGGAATTTGTAATCATTTTCTTTTGATCAAATTAATGTTAATTGTGCTCAGCTCTTCCCAGATGCTAGCAATTAATTTAATGAGTCAAACCGTCAAAGTAAATTTATTTTTTTTATGTCAGAGTAAGTCATTAAAAAACCCTCAACAAAAGAGGTGTGCCATACTTCACGTCAACTTGGCTAGGCCACTACCTAGATATCTGGTCAAATATATCCAGACATTGCAGTGAAGGCATTTTTTAGAAGAGAGTCACATTTAAATCAGTAGATTCTGAGTAAAACAGATTAATCCCCATAGTATATGTGGGTCTCATCTAATCAGTTGAAGGCCTTAAGGAAAAGGCTGACTCCCTCCCTAAGAACGAGCACATTCCGCCAGCAGAGAGCCTTCAGACTCTGGCTGCCCTTCTCTGGGTCGACAGCGTGTTGGCTGGCCCATGCTCCACTACTGCAAGAATCAATTCCTTAAAATAAATGCCAGTTTCATGAACACAAACACACACACACACCCCCATGGGCTCCGTTTCTCTGGGAAAGTGTGACTATTACACCAGTCTTCTGACTCTAAAACACGTAAGTACATGATTCTCTGTTATCATTCTCATTAGAAATTGGATCTACAGGGACTAGGAGATGGCTTAATGGTTACCTTGCTGGACTCCCACATAGTTGACTGCGGTTTGAGCCCCAGACCTGGAAACTTAAAACTCACAGAGGGTGCATGTATATGCATGCCCAAGATTCTCAGAGGAGAATGGAAAGAAAGGAACTGCACGTGGTCATCTCCCCGATGATGTGGTTTCTCACTTTCTGTCTCTCCAGTGAACGCATGTGCCCATTAGCAAAAATTTTTCTAAAAAAACTAAGAAATTGGATCTTGAGGAGCCTGGTGGTGGCACAGGGGTGGAGTGAGACCTTCAAAGGAGAAGTCCTAGGTTTGCATCCAGGGACTTCCCTGAGCGTGCCAGGCACACATGCACAGGTCTATGATCCAGGCGTGTAATGTCATGGTGATTTTGTTGGGATTGCCTGTTTCTGTCTGTGTCTCTGACTCATAGAACAAACTAATAAACTGAAAAATATTGGATCTAGTTTCTAGTGTTTGCAAGACAACTTCTCCATTTGCCTTGCATTGCTTGTCTTACTTTGCCTTCCATCTCAAATCAATGTTAGCCCTGAGAAACATGTTCTAAATTCTCCATAACACCACATCTCCTGCTTTTTTTATAAATAAATTCACTGTTCTCGAACTATTATTATGGCAGTCAGTCTTTCCCACTATTAAACTTGCTATTCAACCTCAGAAATCTCTGCATAGCTCTTTTTTTTTTTTCTCTTTTGCATGACACCATATTTGCATGCCTTAACAGGATTATTGGCCCCTTTTATTAAACTTCCCAGAACTTCAAGGTCACTTAAGAAACAACAAATAAAGGCCACACTGGAATAATGAAGCAAAATATGGCCTAATCATTTTCTAATAAAACTAAGAATCATTTCATGACTATGGAATCTGCTTTCAACAATTTTACCGACTTCAATTCTCGTGCCACTTCAATGAACATGCTGAGACTATGCTTTGTTTTCCTAACTGCCAGAGGGCTGTGGGCTCACAGAGAAAGATGGAGGAGGAGGGGATAACCTGACACACAGACACCCATGAGGCACGGTCATGCTGCAATCCCTTCTCCACTTCTCTATCCTGTCAGGATTTGGGACATGCACGCACATGTGTCTGCCATGGTTTTCAAGCCGCTGGGGCTAGTGTGAGAACATATGGCTGTCTCCCTTCACCACTAGGCTACAGGGTTGGCCTGAGACTATCCTTAAATAATAAAAAACCTTCTGTACCTTACACATCAAACCGTGATCTGTACTTGGGATGTACACACCTGATGTTTCATTCCAGTGACACTGGAGTCAGATCAAACTACTGCAAATCCTAACTTTGCTATTTGCTTTCCAAAAGCAAAGCCATTTGTCTACAATCCTGTCTCATATGTAACCTGAGGGTAAATGTAGTATCTACTCCAGAAAACAGTAAAAATGAAAGAAAATAATATATATAGTAGAGTTTACAATGCTGTCTTTTATCTAGTAAATAATCAGATGTTGGCTATCATGGTTAACCATTTTAAATGTTCAGATATCTGCTGAATGAACAAATAACTGCATAATATATTTAAGGTCTCTGAACATTCTAAATTCCGTCTAATTCTACTTGTAAAGAAATACCTAGTAAAAGATAATAGCAACAAGCAGAGAGGTTACCTGACGCTTAAACTGACAAAGCTAAGTCTTTCTTTTAAGGAAGTGGGAAGCACTCTTTGTAGGTGTTTTGGATTGATATTTAGAGAAAAGACATGCTGAGATCCTAACCTCTAGCAACTGCGAGTGTGACCTTATTTAGAAACGCAGATGTAGTCAAGGTAAGATGAGTTTAAGCTAAATCAGGATGGACTCTATTCCAATACGGCCGGTGCCCTTGTAAGAGAAATGACTCAAACACAGACACAGAGGGAAGACAGCCATTTGAAGCCAGAGGCAGACACTGAAGGTATGCTGCCACCAATCAAGGAATACTTGAAAATCACTGAAAAAGGCAAGGAAATAAAATAATGGTGGCTTCTGCCTCAATTTGAAAGAGAGAGGTACAAATTACATATTCAAACTAAAGATAATAATTAAGGAACTGCAAAACCTTAGTAATAACTCCATTACTCCCCATGTCTAAGTCATATAGTTTGAACACGACATTTTTTTAAGTATTATTTTAATTTAACTTTGTTTTATTAGTATTTAATTTGACCAGAGGAAGAGGGAGAAAGAGAGAGAAAGTGAGAAAGCAAGCCTCCAGGTCCAAGATTTGAACTGCAGTCAGCCATGTGGGAGTTCAGCCTCTTTAACCATCACGCCATCTGCCGGTCCCTGGACATGACTTTTAAGATATTATTTAGAGGCTTATCTGCCTCACCTAAATTAGGAGTTACTGGTTAGATTTTGCTACTGCTAACATGTAGAATTTCCCTTCTCACCTATGTAACAACTTACATGTGATTCAATGTTAGTCACAATAGCCATCAACGAATATGTTACAAATTATAACATATATAAAGTGCTCCGAAATTATTCATGAAAAAATTAGCCCTTTTAACAGAATCAGGATGCACAGATATAACTAGCGGAAATGTATGCTTTTAAGTCTCAGTATCCAGAATCCAGATGACTGAGAAAGCTTCGAAACTGGAAAGGGAGTTAAAAAAAAAAAAGGAAGAAAGAAAAGGAAATTAAAAGTGTCTCCTGGATGATAAGGAGACTTAGACATCCAAGAACATGTAAAAACAGTCAAATTTTATTGGGTCATCAGAAAGGTCATGATGTATTTTTGCATAGAAACACATAGAAAAATACGTCATGACTTTTTCAATGACCCAATAGGTCACTGGCCACCTGTTTAATGAAGAAAGAGGGCTTTCTGATTTATGTTTATTTCTCCTGCAATAAAGTTATTAAAAGAAGAGACAAAATAAACAAAACCAGAGGGCGAAAGGATAAGCAGTAACAGTAGAATACAAAAGCTGTGAAAAAAATGAGTTGGTGATAAAGAAAACAGTTTAGCTAAGATCTACCTGACCCTACATTAAACACTACATGCAGTGCTAGAATAGAAGAGGTCAAAGAGCTATACACATTATATCTTGGTATAAATGGATCTCTTGTGTTGTCACTGTGGTTTAAATCTACAACAGCCCACCGACACACAAGGCAATGACATCTTGGGCTGGCCATTGGCATGGTGGTTGGGGCCGGTAGATCCCACATGGCTGACTATGTACAATTCAAGTCCTGGACCTGGTAGTTTGAGAAACACACTGAGCTTGAGTGAGTGTATGCCCCAAATCCCAAGCGGAGAAAGGAGGAGAAAAGGCTATGGGATGGCCATCCCCCTGAGAAGTGTTTTCTCACTTTCCCTTTCTTTTTGTCTGTCCTTCTCCAGCAAGTGCACTTAACCATGACAAATTAAACTTTTTTTAAAAAAGGACACTTTTATATATGGCACTGTTTGAGTGAGTGAATACACACCAGCCCTGCATCCATATCTACCACAGTGTAGTTGCACCTAAGCCAATACCCAGAACACGTCACCTGAGAAGACAAGATGTACATTCTATCAACAGTGATGAATTTCCCAAACCATCAGGGAAAAAGAATGAGTTCAGAATGCTGGGTTCTGACCAGTTAAATCATTCAAAAACCTAACAAGCATAAATAAAAATAATTAGAAATGTTCTTTAAAAAGCATGGGAGTAAGGTATATTTTAGAATTATCATCATACGCCCAACAAAGAAAATATATCTCTCAAACTGTTACTCTTGAGTTAACCATAAAATCTGCTTAATCTAATTAAATCATTTAGAAGTTTCTAAGTAATTCGAATTTTTAATATCATTTTAAGTTGGTTTTCTAAGAATATATAGGATTTTTGCTAACCCTTCTATAGGATTTTCAATGTCAACTACAGCAAATATTTTAAGGTTTTTGCCAGATGTCAATTTATGTGGGCCAGAGACAGTGAAAGGGAA